GCGGATCTTTCGGAAAATAAAGCCTTTTCCGAAAGATCCCTTATTCCTGATTTTAAGAGGAATAAGGGATCTTTCGGAAAAGGCTTTATTTTCCGAAAGTTCCACGTCTAGACTGGCGCTTTTTTCCGGCAAAGCTCCAAGCCGGAAAAAAGCGGCAGTCATTTTTATGCAAATGAAGCAGGAGGGATTTAAATCCCTGCTTCATTTGCAATTGCGATGTGTCTAATTTGCATCCCTTTTACGGAAAAGGGATGCAGTCTAGACACAGCCTTATTGTATTAGGGAATAATATGCCTGAGTGTCAATCCTCCAAAGGTCAACAGAGTTACTTAGTTTTGAGGAGTCTTCTAAAGGTTGGAGATAAACGTCTGGTAAAGTCCAGACAAATCTGATAAAGTCGGCTTCCCTCACTTTTTACCTACCAAAATACTTAATAGATTGACTTATTGGAGTAAACAGGCCATTGTGGGGATGCCTAAAGTCTAATTTGGGAAATAACAGAAGGCCATAATCCTGAAGATTCCTGAATGGCTAAGGGCATTCTATTCAAGCAGGGGGCAGGCCTCATAGATCACAGATATTTTCAAGCATATGGTGACCTGAGCCACATATCTATAAGTGGACTGTACTAGTGTCATATACAGACGGGCCCAGAAAATACATGGCTACCTTCACACTTAGGGCGCCCCGCCTATATCCTTACATGGGCTCAAAGTATAACCTGGTTAATTTAGGCACCCCAGTCCATCCCATACAATTTTCTGAGGATCTGTGAAGTCTTTTTACCAGTGACAATACTCCTTTATTTATTAACAGTTACCAGAACAACTACACACAATGGGTGTGTCTAGACTGGCAAGATTTTGCGCAAAAGCGGCCGCAAAAAAAAGCACTTTTTGCTCAAAAGCATCCGTACCAATCTAGACACGCTTTTGCAGAAATACTTTTAACGGAAAAACTTTTCCGTTAAAAGCATTTCCACAAAATCATGCCAGTCTAGACACAGCCATTAAGTATACAATGCTCATCACTCCTAATAAGGCAGATGAACTTTTCCCGGTTGCTATGGGTGGCAAGTGATTCCTGCATTTGGGGAGGCTGTGCGTCAGCCCTAGAACTCCCTAGAAGTAGGAGGGGCACCAACACCCAGACTGTGTCCCCATCTCCCCACCCCCACCCATCCCCACTCTGCCTCCTAAGGACTTCTCCCTCTCCTCCCCACTCTGCCCCAGGTCCTGCTCCCAATAGGCCTCTCCCCTAAGATCCTCCTTACTTGCTGCTCAGATCTCTGCCCTCTCCCCTGATGTTACCCCAAAATTTGGACCCAAGCCACCCCAATAATGGCCTGCCTATAACTGTAAACCAATTATCAATTTGGCCAGCTTCCATGGGTAACAGGAGGTGACCTGCTTAAATCGCTTGCTTGGGTTTTACAGAGAGTTTGCCTCTGATTATCAGAAGACTTCCCAGAACAGACCAGTTCTGTTAGTCATAAGAAGACATAAATGCAGTCTTTTGCTCAAAGGATTGATGCTTAAGCATTAATTATTTTTTTTAAAAAATAACAGAAATAATCCACTGCAATACATTTGATCATTGAGAAAGAAATAGCAAAGCACAGTTGTATTGCAATTAAAAGTCATACAGGCAATGCACAAAACATACAGGAAACACAATGTTGTGCAATATGGTACAGGCAGAGTATGCATATATGTGTGTGTAAAATTATATATATATATATATATATATATATATATAAAGCCTTAACTTAATGTTACAGTATAGTACCAAACCTATTATAATGTAACATACAGATCCTTATACATATGTATAAGACAGTATTACAATATTGCACATTACTAAATAGCATTCTGAGTGGTGATCTGGCAACCATAGAATGGGTAGGGTAAAAATCCATTCAGACACAAGCATCCAGCTTTATTTACAACCATATCCCAATACTCCTTACAATCAAGAAGGACATATACTTGCTCTCCTTCCAGAATCCCTCTGTACCACCTATGGTCCTCTGTCTCTCTCTGGTTCTTCTGCTGTTTCTGCTGCTGTTCTGTGCTTTTCCTAGTCCGCTCATACACCCACACTAAAATCTGACAACTTCTTGCCTAATATACAATTTTTTACCCTCTCTGATTAGATGCTTTCTCAATTTCAGCCATTACCATAATTCCTCCGTATTGGGAGATACTTCTTTGAGCTAGACATAGCTGACATTTTCCCCGCACACCTAACTCATCCCTCCCATCAGGTATTCTGAAGTGAACTCAGCCTTCCCTGGTTGAACTTGATTTCACTCCTGTATGCTATTGGTCAATTCTGTCTGAATCCTCCATTTTGATTTTTTTCGTTGCAAAATCAGTGTGGTTGCAATTTTAGACTTCAAGCTATACCTTCACACTATTACTTATTAAAAGTCTTAGATGTCGAAGTACATTTTATACATTTAAGCATTATGATACTGTGACCACTTTTGTTATGCTAACTGAGGGAGGTGATTTTTATGATGTTTTCTGCTCCTCTTTGCATACTTTCAGGTGCATGGCTGGGTGCTGTTCTTGGTGCTGATTTTCTTACAAAAGGCTTTTAGCTGCTTTATACTGTGCATCACAGAGGGGTATCACAGAGGGGTATGTCTACACTGCATTCATCTTTCGAGAGAGGAATGCAAATGCAGCGGAGCGAAATTGCAAATGAAGCATGGATTTGAATTTCCCACACTTAATTTGCATAATTGCATCCAGGTGCTTTTTCGAAATACCCTATTTTGGAAAAAAAACGCCGTCTAGATGGGGTTATTTCGAAAAAAAAACCCTTCTTTCAAAATAACCCTTAAACCTCATTTTTTAAGGAGTAAGGGTTATTTCAAAAGAAGGGTATTTTTTTAAAATAACCCCATCTAAACTAAGGGGGGGGGCGGGTTTCAAAATACAGTATTTCAAAAAAGCACCCAGACGCCATTATGCAAATGAAACATATAACCACATCAAATTTTAGTGGTTACATGGACTATTCAATTACATGCTATCTAACATCTCTAAGCAGTATTATACATTTTCCTCAAGCCACAGAAAACAATTAACTTAAAATAGTATGGCTACGTCTACATTGCATCCCTTTTCCGTAAAAGGGATGCATATTAGGCGTATCGCAATTGCGAATGAAGCAGGGATTTAAATCTGCCCCCCTTCATTAGCATAAAAATGGCTGCCGCTTTTTTCTGGCTCGGGGCTTTGCCGGCAAAAAGCGCCAGTCTAGACGTGGATCTTTCGGAAAATAAAGCCTTTTCCAAAAGATCCCTTATTCCTGAGTTTAAGAGGAATAAGGGATCTTTCGGAAAAGGCTTTATTTTCCGAAAGATCCATGTCTAGACTGGCGCTTTTTGCCAGCAAAGCCCCCAGCCGGAAAAAAGCGGCAGCCATTTTTATGCTAATGAAGGGGGGGAGATTTAAATCCCTGCTTCATTTGCAATTGCGCTGTGTCTAATTTGCTTCCCTTTTACGGAAAAGGGGTGAAATCTAGATACAGCCTATAATTTAATTGTCTGAATAATTGTACTTTCTTTATCCACTACTAGAACCTAAGACTTCTGCCAAAAGCAACAGAACTTCATTCAGATAACAACATTGTTTGTCTACAATTGCTCCGTGTTCCAAATCAATGAATGTAAAAAAATTGTTTGGCAAACATAAAAGTACAGGATCATGTAACGTGAGATTTCTATTCTGAATATGGGCACACTGACACGTTACCCCATTCTCTGAACATATTCCTATTTAGTATTTATTCTTCGTCGAGTAGTGTCCCCGAGGGTGCCCCACTCGAGGTGCTGGGCTCGCCCCGGTGCCGCAAACTGGAGGATTTTTGCTAGCAGTAGCCCACCAGACTGCTGCCTCACGTCTCTCAGCTGAGCGCTGTCCGGTCTTGTCAGTTTCCTTCTAACCGTCCACGGCCGCAGACAGAGATAGGACGCGCTCTCTCTATGATCTTAGGAGAAAGGGAGTTTTAGTGTTTAGTTTTAGTGTTTAGAGTTTAGTACTTACTTAGTAGTTTGTTAATTCAGAGTTCATGTTAGCAGTTCCTGTTAGTAGTTGTAACGATTTTATCGCGTTTTAAAAAAAACCAACTGTTTCAGTTCCAGTTCTCTGGTGTTTAAAATCAAGACTTTATTACAATATCATCATGCCAGGACCTTCTGGCTTTAAGAAATGCTCCCAGTGCCAAGAGGCAATGCCTGCATCGGATGGGTGTTCCCGGTGTATCAAGTGCCTGGGAGACAGACATATTCCGCTTAAGTGTGCGCTCTGCATGAAACTGACAGTCAGGGCAAGGTGCGATAGGGAGATGAGGCTACGGATGCTTCTCTTCAACAAAGCCCTCCAAGTGCCCGAAGAAACTGAATTGCTCTCGAGCTCCCCGGCAGGCATGAAATTCGCCCGGCTACTGAGCAGCCTCAGCGCAGAAAGTCGAGTCCCCCTCCCAGAGTGAGTGTGGGGGATAGACCCGGTACCTCTGGCATACGACCGAGGCACCTGACCGAGATAACGAGTGTGATGGATTTAGTTCTGGGCGTGAGGACACAACCCCTACCTCGGGATCATGGCCCAGCAAGCCCACCGTCTTAAAATTACAAATTCAACAGTTAAATGGGCCGAGCTCCTGATGCCCAGTGGGGACTGTGGGGTGGATCGGGGCCCAGAGAGCCCTGCATCCACAGTTCCCCACCTGGGGTGCCTCGGTCAGTCACCACGGTTCTCAGGGTGGAGGTCCCTCTTGCTTCGCACCTGTTTGCTTCTCTCCCGCGTTGCGAGCAGCATGGAGGGATAAAGGGGTGGCTAGGAGGATCCAGGCCCACCCCCCTCCACCAGGTCCCACCCCGGGGCTCTAAGGGTTTGGGTCTCGGCCCATACCCAGCTGATGGGGTCCCATCCTGTAACGTGTGAACCCACGGGCACCAGAATGGCTCTGCCCCATGCTGCTTCCTAGCCTCCCTGGAGTCCGCGGTTTTTGGTCCTGAGCCATTGGCCCTTACCTCTTTGACGGAGGTACACCAGAGTCCTCCCCGCGGCTCTCCTGGAGTCCTGGCTTCCCGTCTCCATCGGGGGGAAGGAATCACCTCCCTGGCGTTCTCCCCCTTGCTCCGGCTCGGGGGTGGCTATTAAAGCTCCTGCCGGAGGTCACGCCGTGATCCCGAGGTAGGGATTGCGTGCTCACGCCCAGAACTAAATCCGTCACACTTGTTATCTTGGTCAGGTGCCTCGGTCGTATGCCAGAGGTACCGGGTCTATCCCCCACACTCACTCTGGGACAGGGACTCGACCTTCTGCGCTGAGGCTGCTCAGCAGCCGGGCGAATTTCATGCCTGCCAGGGACCTCGAGGGCAATTCAGCTCGCACCCAGAACTAAATCCGTCACAACGACCAAGGGCTGTAGTTCATCGGCCCCACGCTCTACCATGCCAAAATGCCCAGTACCGGCCTCTGCTAAAGGACTGCGGGCTGACTCAGCACCGGCAACAGCTTTAACGGCTGGTCAGAAGCCGGCAATGGCCGCACTGGCATCACCTTCCCCAGCGCCTGCGCAGATGGAAGCAACTCGGCCGGCATCGGCAACAGCGGTGCCGGCTACAGCGCCATCGCTCTCTGCAGAGCCGGAGGCACCGGCACGGCAGCCAGAGATGGGTGCCAGTGCGCCTCTTCACCGGTGCCGGAGCCGGAACAGCTTTTGGCACCAGCAGCACCGGCTTACTTATAAGGCAACAGCTGCGTTGCTGAAGCTGACTCTGCAGTGGCCAGCCCCCTACACACGGCACCGTCCTCTCCATGCATCTCCTCGGTGCTGGCCAGGGCACAGCGGAAGGCAGAGCGCATTAGAACGCCCTCCCTCACTCCAGATCAGGCTGCTTTCTCTCCGGGGCCATTATCACCAGAATCATCTTGCTCTGCTAGTCACCACCGTGCACCACGTCACGTCTCTATTAGGGACAGCTATTACAGATCACCTCATCACTCCCCTTCACGACGGTACTATCAAGATCACTATTCTCGCTCCCAGTCATGTTACACCATGAGGTCTGTTTCCCCAAGGTCATCAAGACCTTCAGCATATTCACATCGCTATGGTTCACCACAAAGGTATTCCCCAGGATGCTTGCCAGGGTTGTATCATCACACACAATACTGTGACCATTATTACTATGACCGTCCATGCTCATTCAGCAGACGATACCCGCGATTGCGATCTCCGTGTCGCAGCCGTCCAGCTTCTCCATGTCACCCACCGCCAGAACCCCTCCCTCCTGCAGCTCTGCCAACACCGGCAGAGGGCACGATATCGGCCCATAGTCAGGAGGAACAGGGTGACAATCATGTCCCACGCCAGGAACTACAGTGTTCAGGCTCCCTTGACTGTTAGTCATCATTGTCACCCGATGACGCAGTCTTTCTAGAGGAATCGTTGTCGACAGAGGACCACAAACAATTTCAAGGTCTCTTTAAAAGAGTGGCTCAATCTCAGGATGTGCAAACCACAGACGTGCAACGAAAGAAGCACTGCTTGCTGAAAAACTTGCATCCTTCCCAAAAATCTAAGCTAGCGCTTCCCTTTGATGAGGCCATCTTGGAGATTGCCAATGACATCTGGCAGACTCCAGCAGCTTCTCTTCCAACCAATAAATGGTCGGATAAGAAGTATTTGTCAGCCGACGGTCAGGGCAGTGTGTGTGGGTGTGTCTCCTAAGTCTTTAGCTGCTAAGACACGAAGTCTCATTGCAGCGGGCAGCCCAGAAGGCTGAAAGGAGCCCCGAGAGTTTAACATCCGTGACTTTACTGCTAGGACCGAGGTCCCGTCGCAGAGGGTAGCCAAACAGGCTAACAGACGCCCCAGTGTGTAGGAAGAGCTTATTACACTTCAGATTTTAGCTGCTAGAACACTGCTAGGACCGGGGTCCCATCGCAGAGGGTGGCCAGCAGGCCAACAGACGCCCCGTTATATAGGAAGAGCTTATTACATCTTAGATTTCAGCTGCTAGAATTTCATAATTCCTTCGCAGCGGGCAGCCTTGAGGAAAGACTGAAAGATGCCCCAGTGGGTCCTGTCACCTGGGAGTGACACAGATCCAAACGCCCAAGCTCTTCCTATAACTGTCCCTTTAGACCGGCTGAAGTTCTTTTAAATTGTGCTTGGTTCTGTTACAGCAACTGAAGGAGTCAGGTTAAAGCTTAAACAGTTACAGGTTTATTGAGGAAGCTTATAAATCATATGGTTACAATGGCTATTGCTCTATTTCTTAACTATTAGCAAAATATAGGTCTTAAAATGGTTACAAAGAAGATAAAGATAGAAAAATAGAAATAATGGTACCAAGTAACAGCTTACTCTTTCTATGTGTACACTTAAGACAGAGGACCACATCCAGGTACCATTTTTACCCCCTTCTGTTCCTCTCGACTCCAGCATGTCAGGCCAGGGCCGGTCCCTCAATTCCTAGGAAAGACGAAAATACGAGGTGGGCGTCCCCATAGAACCTCGGGAGGTCAAACACCTAACCCGACCAGCAGGTAGAGGGTAGAATGACACTCAAAGTGAGTGTGCTGCTGGCCCATCTTTTATACTCATGGGGTCACGTATTTCTCTTTCTTGTCTGTCATGCCAAATGGGGCTGGTCTGTCTTTTGTGAGACCAGTTCTTACAAGGGAGTTGTGAACTTAATTTACACTTGTAAGAGAGATAACTAAATTGGAATTACTGGGGATTCTTTTCTCAGTGGGAAATTCCTCTTCCAGGGACTGTGTGTGTGTTCGAATCAACATGGGTGCCAGCCGGGGCAGTTCTCGCAGCCTCGAGGCCAGCTTATTGACTTAATCGCTCTCTCTCCACATATCTGTTTTCAGCTCCTCAGGATCAGATGAGCCAGCATAGAGTATGCTGATATTATTGCTCCTTCTCTGTCCTGTATACTTCAGGAACCTCAGAGAGGCAAATAAGATGGATGAGATGGGGGTGGGCGGTCTGTCTGGCTACAGTATTTCATAAGCAACAAGGGGATGGAGTTTCTGTTCACCCAGCGCCAATCCAATTCTCTCGTCATGGATGCTGCACAGCAGCGATCGAAGACGACACAAGCCAAAACCACCGTCAGTGACAAAGAGGCTAAGCGACGGGACATTTTAGGAAAGAAAGTTTATTCTTCCACCACCTCAGCCATGAGGATGTGTAATTAAGTGGCTCTCCTTTCAAATCACGATTTTGATAACTATTCGAAATTGGTTCCTCTTTTAGAACATCTGCCGGACTCGAAACAACAAATTTTAAAGGCGATCAAAGGTGCGAACAGCATTGCAAACCGCACTTGACACGGCCGACGCAGCGGCACGAACCGCAGCTACCGCTATAGTCATGCACCATGCATCGTGGTTGCATCAAGCTGCTGTCCCGAAAGACCTGCAAGCCAAGGTTGAGGACCTGCCCTTTGATTGTCAGCTGCTCTTCACTCAGTCCACCGATCAGGTTTTCCACTCCGGCAAAGACTCCCGCACAACTCTGAGAACACTGGGGATGGGCACGCCTCCATACAAGCACAAGAGGTACACGCCCTACAACAAACAGAGGCCTTTTTCTTATGCAGCACCCCGTACACGACCATATACGCAGCAGAGACAAAGTCAACATCCACAAAAATGACGGCAACAACCTAACAAAGCGCCCATTCACCAGCAGGGTCGGCAGCAAGTTTGACATGTCGATCGACGGACTGTGGACCACTCCTTTGACAGAGGCACTACAAGACGCATAAGGTTTATTTCACCACGGGTTGAGACCTTACCAACACCGTTGGTCTCTTATATCCACCAACCGTTGGGTCCTCGACATAGTCGCTTCAGGATACGTTTTCCTTTTCAACTCAATCCCTTCCCCCACCCCACCTTTCCCATCCCTTTTCAGGGACCCCTCTCATGAGATTCTTCTGCAGCAAGAGGTGTCTCGCCTGCTTACCATAGGAGCAGTGGAGAGGGTACCAACTCAGTTTCAGGGAAAAGGATTTTATTCTCGATACTTCCTCACACAGAAGAAATCAGGGGGTTGGAGACCTATCCTGGGCCTATGCCAGCTCAATCATCACCTGCGGAAGTAAAAATTCAAGATGGGTCATGTTCGCCTCTATCATCCCAGCTCTCAAGAAAGGAGATTGGTTCGCGTCCCTCAATTTATAGGACGCTTATTTTCATATTACGATACATCCAGCCCACAGGCAATTCCTTCGGTTCGTAGTGGGCACGGACCATTATCAATACAGGGTGTTACCTTTTGGACTTTCAGCAGCACCATGAGTTTTTTCCAAGACTCTGGCAGTGGTGGCGGCCTACCTTTGACGCCTCGACATCGCGATATTCCCATATCTGGATGATTGCCTATTAAAGGCACCTACCCTCGGCGAGGCTACACAGACAGTCACCATTACCACAATGGAGTTCAAGGCTCTGGGGTTCATTATCAATCTCGAAAAGTCCTCCCTGACACCGAGTCACAGCCTAGCATTCATTGGTGCACGACTCGATTCACTGACGGCGAAGACATATCTGCCCACAAAGAGATTCCAATTGATCCGGGACTTGGTCCAGACTGTGTCAATTGCTCCAAAATGCCGCCTCCTGACCTGCCTACAGCTGTTGGGTCATATGGCTGCCACCACATATGTGGTGCCTCATACGAGACTTCACATGTGCAGCCGTCAGCACTGGCTGTTTACGGTTTACACGCTGGGTGGCACGGCACAGGCAGGACAGTATCCGTTCCCAGACACATCAGGGCTTCACTAGCATGGTGGGGCAGACCCAAAACGATGTTAATAGGAGTCCCCTTTCATGGGCAAAAGCCTTCACTGCAGATCACGACAGACACGTCTTTGATCGGTTGGGGGGGTCCATGTGCAGGAACATCAAGCTCAGGGCCTTTGGACGCCCCAAGAGTCCCTACTACACGTAACCTTCCTTGAGTTATGAGCAGTATTCAACGCCTGCAGACATTTTCTTCACATGATCCGGGGTCTTACGATCCAGATCCTCACCAACAACATATGCATGGTATATTATGTCAACCGGTAAGGTGGTGCACACTCACGCCCCCTCTATGCAGAGGCTGTGCGTTTGTGGAACTGGGCAATTCGTCATGGTATCACCCTTACCACGTCATGCCTTCTGGGCAAGGACAATGTTATCGACTATACCCTCAGCCGCCACTTCCTTCCCCAGCACGAATGGGAGTTGAACAATGAGGTCGTTCACAATCTCTGCCAGCTCTGGGGGTTCCCCAGTATAGACCTCTTTGCCACTCATCACAACAGGAAGTGTCATCATTACTGCTCACGAGTGGGCATCGGCTCGGCTTCCTTGGGGGATGCTTTCCTGCTCGACTGGGGCTGCCATCATCTACTCTACGCCTTCCCTCCTTTCCCACTCATTCTGAGGGTACTGGAGAAGATAGCATTGGAGGGTGCAACAGTAATTCTGATAGCACCCTTTTGGCCCAGGCAAATGTGGCTTACACAACTGTTGCGAATGTTGGCGACTCAGCCACGGCGATTACCGAAACTGGCCAATTTGCTGTCTCAACAGCACGGTACAATAACCCATCTGCACATTGAATGTATGCATCTGACAGCGTGGCTCCTAGTTGGCTCCAAGCGCCTGAATTGATCTGTTTGCAGGCTGTGCTGGTAAACAGTAGACGTCCCACTACTCGCAAAACATACCTCCATAAATGGCACAGGTTCCAGTCTTGGTGTTCACTGACAGCGTGGCTCCTAGTTGGCTCCAAGCGCCTGAATTGATCTGTTTGCAGGCTGTGCTGGTAAACAGTAGACGTCCCACTACTCGCAAAACATACCTCCATAAATGGCACAGGTTCCAGTCTTGGTGAAATCGACAATTTTGGTGTTTGCACATCCACTCACCAAAAGATTTTTAAGAGGGCTCGAGAATCTATATTTGGCTCACAGAATCCCACCAGAGCCGTGGGACTTGGCTTTAGTCTTGGACACTCTGACTCGTCCTCCTTTTGAGCCACTTGCGACGTGTAACCTATGGATGCTCACAATGAAGGTGGTGTTTTTACTTGCCATGACTTCAGCGCGAGTGAGCGAGTTAGCGACTCTCTCCGCCCACCCACCATACACAATATTCTCTGGCTATGGGTTCGTGCTTCATGTTCACCCCTTCTTTTTACCAAAGGTGAATTCCATCTTTCACATAAACGAACACATAATCCTACCGACATTTTATCCGAAACCACAAACCTCATTCGAAGACTCACGATTGCATACGCTAGACGTCAGACGAGCGCTGGCCTTCTACCTGGATAGAACACGGGCTTTCAGGAAGTCTCAGAGCCTCT